AAGACCTTCAAGAATAACATGTTCTTCCTTGAATAAATGGCGAGATACAACGTATTTGATATCACAACCTGGAAACAGACTTTTAATGTTTGGTGATTTTATTGGAGGTAGAAACAATTTTTGATGTTATTATAAATATTTTGTTTGAAGGAAGTTATAAAGATTTTAATAATGATCAAATTGGCTTCTTTATTCCATTCAAGTTTGTCTTTGAAAGTCAAACATGTAAGTAGAGCTACAACTTAAAAAAAAAAATCTTGATAAAAATCTAATAGTAATTAACAAAGCTCAAAAACATCGCACATCTTTTATTGTTGTTGAAATCTTTCAATCCATGATAATTTGGACCTTCTTCAGATCTATCATTATTTTTTTATTGGAAATAATTTAATTTAGGAAATCAACATAAGTAGTATAGAATACACACTTTTCTAACTTGGCATATAATTTTATATCTCTAAATTTTTCTAACACACAATAAATATGAACTTCATAATCTTTTATATTCTTATAATAGATTAAGATATTTTTTAAATAATAAATGACATAATCATCAAGAAATTCACAAAAACCATCATTTATTAGATATTGAAAATCAATTAGTACATTCTTGAGTCCAAAAGGCATGACATTATATTCAAAATATCCATAATTGGTTCAAAATGCAGTTTTTTATTTATCTCTTTTTTTAATGCCTACCAAATTATATGATCTTTATAGATTCATTTTTTAATTTAATTGATCAAAAATTCTTAAAATTAAAAATAGAGGATATCTATTTTTGATGGTGAACTTATTGAGTCTTCAATAGTCCATACACATCCATAGAGATCTATCTTTTTTCTTTATAAATAAGATAAGAGCCTTGACTAGAAATTTAGAATGCTATATGAAATTCTTAGCTAAGTTCTTATCAATGTATTCCTTGAATATAATCAATTCGCTTTGTGATATGTGATAGATTGGTCTAAATGGTAGCTGAGCTCCTTTGTAAAGATCAATGGAACAATCATAAAAATAATGCTTTAGAAGAAGATCTGCATTCTTCTTTTCAAAAATATCTAAAAAATCTTGATACTAGTTAGAAATACTACTTGATATCTTTTTATCATTCAAAAGTGGGCATGACAAATATAGCAAAAGATAACCTTTTTTTTGTGGCATGCATAAAAACTCTCATACCTATCAGTAAGGATTTATATGTAGTAGACTTATTTATTTTTACTTGACTAATAGGATTTTGGATTAAATTATAAAAAAATTAAATTTACAAAAAATCTAATCTATATGAGGATTATACTTTCTTAACCAAGATAATTCTAAAATAGTTGGATTGGATGGAAATCTTATTATATTAAATATTATTATTCTATTATGATCTTTAATTTTTACATTTAAAAGAACAATCTCATAAGTAATATCTCCAAAAGATAACAAATTACTATTTATGACTTTTACATGAATAAGTTTAATTTTCTTGACTAATAATTTCTCTTATTTTTTAAAAAAACCTTTATTCATAAAATAGGTTGAGACTCATGAATCTAATAAAGCTAAGATTTTGTGATTTTTTGGTCCTATATTAACTTCTACTATAATACAAGGTGAAGGATCTAAGGAGAGAATATGACCTTAATTAAGAGTTCTACAAGATTTCAGCCACTTTATCCCTATAGTAGCTAGAGAAACTTATTTTTTGATACATTGTCTTCTTTGGCAACCATTCTTCTCATTTTGTGGTTGCATTGTTTCTTTGGACAATACTGAGTAACGTGTTTAGCTTCTCAACAATATAAGCATAAGCCCTCTTAATATTGTTGAATATTTTTTAGCTCCATGAAGGATTTAAAACATATCGTATCAATTTGTATTGATTTTAGCATTGATGAATAAGTTTTTAAAAACTTGGAAGCTATCAACATTATTTGACTTGTTCTCCTCTAACTAAGTCTTTGTTCATGATGTCTTTCAAATAAACAATTGTCACATGCAATGGCTTAAGCAATAAATTATTCCAAAGATTTTATCTTTGATATTGTTAATAAAAAAAATCTTTTATATTATTCTTCAGCTCATATCCAAATTGATTGATAAAGGCTTTGTCATTCCAATCCACGTCATAAGCAAGATTTTAGAATTTAAGAGTATATATGGTGGTTGACCATGATTTTTGCCATAATGATAAGAATTTAATCTTTGCTATTTTTTCTCAATCACTTTTTCCAAATGTAATTGTAAACGTTTTTTAGAAATGAATTCAAATCATAAAATAGTTGCAAATCATTTTTCATGAAAGGTACAAATTAAGAAAGAGCACTTTTTGATAGAAGAATATCTATGAAGCTAACTTAAATAAATCCATGAAGGTATTGAAAGGCATGCAACCTAAGATAGAACTTGATTTATTGTAGAAATCTTTGAAATTTTGATCTTGTTCTATTAAACTTCTCAAGCATATTAATCTTTATCAATGTCATACTTATAGAAGCAAAATTCCATAGATTTAATTGTGAGGTCAATTTATTTGCTTCCTTCAATTATGAAACTTCTTGATACAAACTCTAAACTTCCTCCATAGGTGTAAAAATAATATCTCAATGATTCTTGTTGAAAATACATGAGATTTCTACTTTTAAAATATTGACAAGCTCATGAAGATCTGCAATAGTTACATATCTATTCTCACTTCTATTGAGAATAGCATCTATAATCTTTCTTTTCATAGATAATTCAAACAAATTTTAAAAGTGAAATTAAAAGAGGATAATCCACAACCTTTACTATCAAATGAAAATTTCTACAAAGAGAGGTAATTCAATCTTTTTTAGGAAAAGATTAGTTTTAGAAAATAAGATTATTTGTTTAAAGGTGGATAATCCACAACCTTCAAAATACAACAATAAAAGTGAGATAATCCACCTATTTTTTAAATAAGATAAAATTAATAAGTTGGCATTCTTGTCAAACTATCAAGGATATGAATCTTAAAAAAAATCCTCACTATATTCTTAAGTCATTGAATTAAAAAGAATTAAAAAGCTACTTAAAGATGATATAATATTGAATTAGAATGGCTATTGCCAAAAATAAAAAGAATAAAAAGTCTTTAAATAAGACTAAAGACTAGAAAGGCATTAACAAGAGTGAAGAAGACTTCACTATTACCTCCATACATATTCTTAACTAGGAACTATGTAGCAATGTGTTATATGGCCTCTTAAACGTATTGACTTTGTAAGACATATAACTTAACTTGCAAGACAAGTTTTTTATATGTGTGCCACATAATTAACTTTATCCTATAAGCTACCAACATGTAGTTAACTTGTTGACCAAGTTTCTAACTTATCAATCAATTACAAACACATGTAAAGTCAAAACAGTGTCTATAAAGCTTTTTAGAAGCTTTTCTATGAGGTATTATGAAATTAATCTATTTTTATCTACATTTACTTGATCATATATGTATTTATAAAGTACAGATATATATATATATATATATATATATATATAGGTGACATTCATGTTTTTTTCTTAGAAGCTTATTTAAAATCAATTATTCTAGAAAAAATACAACCATCATTACCTTGTATTGAAATAAATAATCATGTGGAGTATGAGATAGAAAATGTGATTATTTCTTGGCAAAGAACAAGCAAGTTAAAATATTTTATTCATTGACATGGCTACATTATCAATGAGTGTACATAAGAATCAATAGAATAACTTTTTTATGTGTTGCAAAAGATATAAGAGGTTTATTGACACTATCTTCAAAAATCTAAACTTATTTTAAAATGACTTTTCTATGAAGCTACTGCTAGGATGTTGTATATAACAAAAAAAATATATAAAATTGATTCTCCTCAAAAACTCGAAGTTAGAAGAGAAGGTGGTGTTATAGACATCCAAACAAGAAAATTCTAAAAATGGCCCCAATCATTTGAAAATCCTAAAGGATTTACAATGCTCAGAAGCATAGCAAATTTTCTTCTTTTCTTTTATATTAATCCATTGGTGAATACAATATCCTAATGTTGGCATTGTAAGATCTACTTAGCTAGAACCTTGTATAATTGATGATGCATTAGAAGCCATTGGAACTTTGCAAAGAATTCAAATAGGTCAAGGCTTTTGTATTCTTGGTATTTATTGAGAATAAGTTGATGATACTTTGTAATAGTCGTTTTTGGAAATTAAAATCATATGATGTCTATGTTGCAAGCTCTTTCTAGTTCATAGATGGATTTTTTGTCTTTTTGTGACAAATTACAAGTCTTTGCATATTGATAAGTGTCTTTGACATTACTTTACTTTGTTTGCTAAATAAGTATGTTACTTCGTAATTCCATGGAGTTTTGTCTATAAAAATCAAAAAATACCTTAGAAACCAATTTTTATATTTTTTAAAATAAAAAATCTTCTTTCATGTTTTTATTATATTAGCTAATTATAATTTAATACTCATCAATTAATATCACAATCTATCACTTTATAACTTGATATCTTCCAATCTTAGATACGTTTGGCATCCACCAATTATATCAATTAATGGAGGGTCAACTATATATTTCAATCAACTTTATAACTTAATATCTTCCAATATTAGATACATTTTGGCATCAACCAATTATATCAATTAATGGAGGATCAAGTGTATATTTCAATCAACTATTCCTCATTGATGATAGACAATTGACTTTTTTTCAAAAGACATTCAAAGTTAATAATATATATATATATATATATATATATATTTTTTTTCTTCAATCCTCCTTAAACTAGTGGCAATGAGTGACTTCCGACCTCCACCATTGAACATGCAACCACAGCTTTTTGAAGGAATAGGTAAAATTATTGTAAATACCTAAACCCTAGAGTTGCAGCAAAGCATCCTCATCCATCCATCCATCCCAGGAACGATACTTGTGCTCTTTTCCCAGGTTGGTGTCAACCCATTGGCGCGGGTCGGCCAATACGCACTCGGCCTTCAGACTTAGGCCTGCTTTTCCACCCGAGATTGCTGCGCAACATCGCAATTAGGGTTTTCTGACAGTGTGCATCTCAAGACCAACCCACAGCCCACAGCTCCGCGGCACTCGCGCTGATAGGACGAGGAGGAGGAGATGCGTTGAATCCGCTTGTCCTTGTGAGGTTCATGGAATTGTGACCTTTTCCCGAAAGCTTCCAGCGACCTGGGAAGGGTGGTTGACGATCTGCACAGAGGACTTTCGCTACTATTTTGGAGTCGGGCCGAGGGTGGTGGTGGGGAGATTGGATCGATTGGGTCGAAATGCCAAATTTCAATCATGCTAGTCGGCATTGGGAAAGCTGCGGGGCAGAGGAGTAGGGCCAGCCTCGCACGAAGCTGGGAAGAATCTGTGGTGGGTTTCACAACATTCCAAACGTATCGTCAAAGCTAGGGGAGAAGGTTTCAACTCTCCTTTTCATTTTTTCATTTTTTTATTTTTTTATCTTGCTGCTCGTAAATTGGAATATTCTTGCAGTGATGGGCGGAAGAATCGCGTGAATTCTGCGGAGAAAGCTCGATTGCTGAGTCTTCGGAGTTTTTTTAATCTCATCTTCACGTTATCTTCCTCCCTGTCGCTTTTCTGGGGATTTGTGATTCGGGTAACTGGTTTGTGTACGTTACGAAACCCTAAATCCCTCTTTCTGATTCCGTTCTTTTGATGTGTCGTCAAACTCCACTTGTTGATCACTGTTGTTACTCTATTCACTACCACCGATTTACTTCAATTTGTCTCACGGCTTCACATGAAGCTAAGTTTGAAAGATGTCGGATCATGTCGTTTGGTTGTTTTAGGAGACAAATAATCCTCGGACTATGGCATTTTTACTCATCTACGGATCAAAACCCCGAGAATGGTGGATCTTATTGATTCTCATTGTATCAATGACAATTATGAACATAGTCAAAGAATATTGATATCCAGTTATATTGAGACTCAATTTTCTGCATTTTAACTTAAGAATTCAAAAAAAATCTGATATGTAACTTTTGTGTAAAAACAATATGTAAATTTTGCCAAACAATTGGTGTGGGAGATTAAGAATAGATTTAAGTATAGAGAATATATATATATATATATATAGAGAGAGAGAGAGAGAGAGAGAGAGAGAGAGATAAGGAGTTATTAAAGCCACATCTAATTTTGTTAAAGTTACACCTCCCCTTGTCATCTCATGATTAGTTCCATCTATCCTAGTCAATGTCCTTTGATCCATGTCTCCAATCTTCAAATTTTTTTTTTTCCTATCCCCTCCATATCTTGTCCATTGTTGCCAACCTCTCAACCAATCCTTTGTTTTCAATCCCTCCATCTCTTATTCTCAACCCTCCATCTCTAGCCTCCTATTCTTGTATGGATCTTTGTTAGAGTCTTTTCAACCTCATATAATCAAAACAGATGTTGGTTGACAGATAAATATTCATTGTGAAGGATTGATTTGAATCAAACATTGTTGTGGAGAATGGAGTGTATTTGGTTTTCAGTCTTCTTAAAGAGATATGGCAAGAAGTTAACATAGATTGGTGAATTATGGATAGTATCAAGAAGTAGAAGATATGCCACATCCAGCATCTTTGAGGATATCTTTAGCAGTAGGCAAAGGTAAAGATTGAATTTGGAATAAAGAGATAAGAAGCAACAACACACATCTTTACATTAATTTTAGGTTTTATTTTGGTATTATAAGAGATGTAAATCATAAAACACTTATTGATCAATACACTGCCATCTTGACTTTAATTGCATGTTGTTAAATTTTAAAATCATGTAAAATCAAAATATAATTTGTTTGTTGAAAATTTCAAATCTTATTTATTTATGAAAAAATCACATACTATTTTTACCATGAATAACTTAAAATTTTTCTTGAGTCTAAATTATTGAGGATTTTTTTTTTTTTTTTTTTTTTAATCTTAAAACAATAAAATAACCAATATAAAGTATAAAGTATGTTTTCAAGAATTAATTTAAGATATTAATGTAAAATAAAATTTTCATTAGAATAGAATAGAAGTTGTACTTGGTTGATGGTTTTATAAAACTCAAACTTGTGAAGATGAAACTATACATCTAAAAGATAAATTTCATTGTTTATCAGCTCAATAAAGACATAAATTAGATTGTTATCATATTAAAATATATGTTTTAATTTTTATAGAATTATACATGTTCTTACAAAATTTGATTAAAAAAAATGATCAACAAAAACAAAACAATGTAATAATTTTATATTATCCAAGTATGTATTTATATTTTATAGCATATTTAAAGATAAAGATAAAAATAGTAATAACATTAATGATTTAAAACCAAATAATGAAAAATAATTGACAGTTATTAAATCCAGTTTTCAATAAGTATTACTGACATTATTGTTATTTTTTACATATGATTTTATGAATTTTTTTAATGTAAATTTTAATTATTTCAATATTTTGTAAAATCTTAATTAAAACAATATACCGATTTAATGTCTTTAAAGTGATTTGAAAGTTTTGAATAAAAATATTCATAATGTTCTTCAAAATGTATGTATGTATTTATGTATGTGTACATATTTATCAGTTTTTTTTATTAAAAAAATCATGCAACATAATAAAATAAAAGTGAAGAATACTGATAAAGTGATATCCCACTGCAATTATTTTTTGTTGCTGTAGATAAATTTTTAACAAAATATTATCAAAAGTAGCCAAACAGAAAGACACGTATAAATATGTAAAAAATCATGACATACAATTTCGAATATATATACTATTTTTGATATTTAAGTTCCATACTTGTAAAGTTCTAAATGAAAAGTCCAATGTGATTACAATTCAATCAAACTGAAGCCAAAAATATGACTTAGAAATCCCAGTAATCATGCATGTGGTTGATCTTCTTGCAAAGATTGATGCAGTAATCTACTTGTTAATTCTTGGTTACTATAAAACCTCACAAATAACACACATTAACAAGTTTTATATGAATAGAAAGCTAGAAACTAGAGAAAAAAAAAAAAACAAACAAAAAACGGAGCATGAGAAAATTCCCATTTCTTTAGTGTAAAATTTGATACCATTCACAAAAGCAGAAAACATAATAGTTATATTTATATATATATATATAAATATAACTATATATATATATATATATATTGACATGAACGAAGAAAAAATTGTACCATGCTCAAGATTTTTGTTGTGGGTTAAAAAGCAGTCCTCTACCAATGCCTCCCAAGCATTTAACTTATGTACAATCTCTAAACATAGTCCCTCTATTACTCACCATACAAATGTACTTTCTCAATGAGAATCAAATATCTCCTCAAATCTTTCCAAACATGTAAAAACACACAAAACACAAATGTGTATATATATATATATAGAATAAAGCTTCCCAGAAGCTTGTAGAATGCAGGGTGGCAGGCCTTGTATGAGAACCAACTGGGGATGATTCGTTGTAGCCAGGCTGTCATTTTTGTAATGGTATCCCAGATTGTGGGAAACTTGTATTAATAGAATTATAACAGAAAAGGATCAATCCTTCATTTTGTGGATTCAATGCATCTACAACTACTCATCCTCTTTGTAATACACTCCATCACCCAGTTCATACTTCATCTACACATACTGCATTCGACACTAATTAAAGCAACCCATGTTGAATATATGAAAACACACAAAAGGACTGGAGTTTAGACCCAATGAATGGTTTCCTGTGGAAGTAGGAAAGATGGTAGTCTGAGAGATGAAAGAGGTCAAAAACAATGGGCTTCATGAATCTCCATTGCTCACAAGTTGAGCAGTTTTTTCAACAAATTTTGCATCTGACATGCCATTGAAATCAAGCCCTTGGAATCAGGTGCTTGGAATATAGGGTGCCCATTCTGCAGACTGTAAAAAAAAATTCATCAACTTCTAGTCATCTATATCCCATTCTGGAGGAACCTCCCATGTCCTTTTACTTTTGCCTTTTTTAATGTAACTGATGACTTTCACCTCTGGGCCTTTGTTGACAATGTGGGAGAGGTGGGCATGAACTTAAAAAGCCAAGTTGGAGAATTGACTACATGAGCTGGCATGAATGAAACATTTTTGAATGAGGAGGCCCAATATTTTTTCTGTTCCTTTGCTAAGTCAACAAGGTCTTCAACTGAAGCTTCTGTGGTTGTGCTCTATGAAAATGGGTGTATCCCTAATTTTGATAGACAGTCTTACTCATTCACAATTATATATGTTTTGTGACTCATATTGGGTACATCTCCAATACCAATAATAATGAAACAATGTTGTAAAAATTGAGCTTTTAGGTATGTAAAAGTATATATTTATACATACATACATTTAATGAATGTGGTTGGTTGTTAATTAATAACAACACATACTTGTGTTCTTTTAGAATCGCCATGGTATCATATTTAGAACAATTAATTTATGAAAAACTACATGTGAGATGGTTTCAGAAAACTGTAGTAAAAAAGATGTGATCCACCTCATCAAAACCCCTACCCAATCCCCCAAAAAGACAGTCGACCAACATTGTTTATTCATTTGTTCATCCACATCCAACTGGTTTAATATTTTCACGAAACGGTAAGACACACAACTAATAAAGAAACTCCAAGGTAGTATATTTTGGTTAAGATCCACGAAATACACCACAAAGATAGAACTGCAACATAATCCAGGAATATGAGATAACCTAACAAATCTAACAAACTGGAATATTTCCTTGGCAATGTCATGCACAGTCAGACCCCGGGCACGCCGAATCTCCTGAAGATCTGCGGTGAGAGTGGCCGAGGAACGAAACTACACATCGTGGAGTTTGCCCACAATGGCTCGAAGTTCATAACCATGGCACAGAAATACTACAGTAGCAAGCAAGGCAAGCAAAACGGAGGTGCAAACAAAAGCATTACAATAATCTGACAAACACTGGAAACCCAGAGAAGGTAAGGAAGTGGGGGCCCCCGCTCTCTCTCTCTCTGTATCTGTCTGTCTGTGGACAGTCTGAGAGGTATTCATACCGAAAAGTCCAAGCTCTGCCTTTTAATAGTAGAATCCACAGAACCCGAGATACCTCCCAGTCCCGTTACCTCTCCCCGCCACCCGTTGCAGTGCATTCACCATTTTAAAGCTCGCCACAGCGCGGACAGAGCACACAGCAATAACCCGCACATCCATAGCACCAGTGCCTCTCTGCCCTCTGCGCATAGGAATTCGCGTCCTCTTGCGCACCCACTTCTCGCTTTTTTTCGCATCGTATCTGTGTGTGTGTGTGTGTGTGTGTGTTTGTGTTTAGTTCGTGAGCGCCGTGTGGTCGTGTGTTTTTGTTTTTGTCTCAGGGTTGATTGGTCGTATTACCGAGGATTGGACACCATGACTTCTCTTGACGAATTGCTAAACCTGTCTCTGGAGGAGACCACCACGGAGATCATCGCTGAGTACATTTGGATTGGTGGATCCGGGACGGACTTGCGGTCGAAGGCCAGGACGTTGCCGAAGCCTGTCACCGACCCGAAGCTACTGCCGAAGTGGAACTATGACGGATCGAGTACCGGTCAAGCTCCCGGCGAGGACAGCGAGGTGATTCTTTACCCACAAGCGATCTTCCGAGACCCATTCCGGCGTGGGAACAACATTCTGGTGATCTGCGACGCGTACACGCCTCAGGGCGTGCCCATCCCCACCAACAAGAGGGCTGCCGCTGCAGAAATCTTCTCCAAGAAAGAGGTCGTGGATGAGGAGCCCTGGTGAGCACTGCTTGCTCCATGTCTCCCATTTCCGGTACCTTCTGTTGCGATAAAGCATCGGTCTTTAAAATTTCCTGCAGCGATTCTAGTGCGGTGTTTTCTTCTCATTCTGGTGACTACCTCCTTTCATTCATGCGCGCCTCTTGCTCCTCGACGACATCACTGCGACGATCACTTATTAATGAATACTTTGCGTGTTAGAGTTCTCCTCCTTTCGTTTAATGCTTGCCTGTTGTAGGCCTCCCGTGCACATCTGCCTCTGTCCCCTTGCAGAGCAGACTGCTGCCTCTACAGACGTCAGCCCTCTGCATGTTAAGATAGGGAAATGTTCTACTTTCATCCAGGGCAACAGTGCACGTGCCAGAGGTTGGTGCTGCCATGAAGTATCAGACAATTATGTATTCTCCTGTGAACTTGTTATCCTACGTAGTCGACGTATTACGAAGTATTCAATGCTACATCCACGGTAATTCTAGGAGTAGCAACTTCGAACGTGCTTACCGTACAGTCATCTACTTGGCACTGCACAAAGTTTCGGAGTGCTAGGTACAACGGACTCTTTCAACCTACAGACTCATACAATCCTCGCACCGTAGTGAGGAGTGATAATCTTCAAATTTTTCCGGCGCTCGAGGGTATACTCCGGAGAGGTTGGTGAGTGAGAGGTGGGGGTGAGGGTGGTGTGGGATTGATAGGCGTGGGGGCGTGGGGGCAGGTATGGTTTGGAGCAGGAGTACACGCTGCTGCAGAAGGACGTGAAGTGGCCCCTTGGATGGCCCGTGGGAGGCTACCCCGGCCCACAGGGGCCTTACTACTGCGGCACCGGAGCTGACAAGGCCTGGGGCCGTGACATCGTGAACGCCCACTACAAGGCCTGTCTGTACGCCGGGATCCAGATCAGCGGCATCAATGGCGAGGTGATGCCTGGGCAGTGGGAGTTTCAGGTGGGCCCCGCGAAGGGCATTGCGGCGGCTGACCAGTTGTGGGCAGCGCGGTACATTCTGGAGAGGATCACGGAGATCGCAGGAGTGGTGCTGTCGCTGGACCCCAAGCCCATCGACGGAGACTGGAACGGTGCTGGGTGCCACACCAACTACAGGTGGGTTTTGCATTTGCATGTGGTGCGGTGAGTCGCGGTGAAGTTGGTTGCATTGGTGGGAGGTGTTTGTGTTTGGCATGAGTGTGAGTGTGTGTGAGAGTATGTGTGAGTGGGTGGGTGAGGTGGATCGGACTGGTTGGTGGCGTGGATTGGCGTGACTGAGGGTGTGGCACGGGGGTGTGGGGAACAGCACGAAGTCGATGCGCGCGGATGGAGGATACGAGGTAATCAAGAAGGCCATCGAGAAGCTGGGGTTGAGGCACAAGGAGCATATCGCATCATACGGCGAGGGCAACGAGAGGAGGTTGACGGGCAAGCACGAGACTGCGGACATGAACTCTTTCTCGTGGGGAGTGGCGAACAGGGGGGCATCGGTGCGAGTCGGACGCGACACGGAGAAGGAAGGGAAGGGATACTTCGAGGACAGGCGGCCGGCGTCGAACATGGATCCATACGTGGTGACGGGAATGGTGGCGTACACGACCATCTTGTGGAGCCCCTCGGAAAGCAAGTGAAGCGAAGTCATTATTGAAAAAGGTATTGGAAGGAAACAGAATTTGCTGTCAGATTGCAGCAATGCTGAACACTGACTTGAGTGCTGGCTGGGTGGGGATATGTTTGATTATGTGGGTGATGGTTGGTGGGTTGCGTGGGAGTGCTAATGGAGGATCTTCAGTGGCTGTATTCAGCACGACTATGCACGCAGAAGAGCTTCTATGTGGATGATACAGAGACACTGTAGAACAAAGGAGCCTAATAGGCAGGAAATAAGTCTGTCCTATTGTGTCGGTGCTAATGTGCTATTATGCGCAGCAATTGCAATAAACACATCACGATGTGCTAATTTGCATGCATTTCCTCGTTTTCTATTATCTAATTGTCTTCTTGCCTTTCTCTGTGCATGGAAAGCTTCTTCATAGCAAGCTTACCTTCAGTTTTGTTCTTTGCGGTGACTGTTGACTCTGCAGCTGCTCTTTGCAATGTGTTTATTGCAGTCGATGCTCTGTGCGGATTATTTATTTTACATTATTGGTGAGTGGAACTATTTGTACGTCAGTAAAACGCGAATGTTTGGTTTTTTAAAATTCGTATTACATGGAAACTATAGCTTCTACAACGGTATAGTTTTGATCAAACGAAAAAGAATGTGTTGTGACAAATTGTTTTACAATTTATATCTGTTTTGTGACATTGCTGACCGTTTTGCAAACAGTTTATTTTGGCAATTGTAGTTGAATATATGATTGATAAATTGACTTGACGCTTCGAAATACTTTTGTGCACTATCTTTTACAGACTTCTAAAGTAGTGTCTTCAAGGTCTTTATCTGTAAAAATTGAATTATATTTTGAGTATTGTTGTGAAAAGTTCCAAACTTCAGAGAAGATATGCCTCTACATATTCAAAGAATTAGCAATATTTACATGTATATATCTATAAAAAAGATATGTAATTTCGTAAGGTTGCCTCCCAAGATGTATCTTACCATGTTTGAAGTTCATTTGCAAAACTCATAGATGTGTCAATAGGCTCCAATTAATAATTTAATAAAATATTACTACAAACTATAAGTAAAGAAACAGCAAATTCAATCACTATTGTAAGCTGTGAATATTATCTACACTTACGATGTGTATGCTAGTCTATTTATTGTATAAATCCAAGCCAACACCATTGTTTTATTGGTACGAATTTTCGTAAATTGATACATGGTTAAATTTCAAACAATATGTGCTTCATTCGTTTTCTTATTCTTTTTTAACAAAAAATTCAGATCCTACCATAATTAAAAAGTTATATTTTGGCTAAGTAAAACACGGAAAACCGAACAATACAAGATTAAAAACCAAAAGACTAAAATTCAAACATTTAGTTATGAGCATTTCAAGGATTATATATAGATGCTCTCATTGTATTTTTCCACAACTCTTTTTACTCAATTATTGTAACATTCAATATCTATTTCTTTACTCATAGTAAAAATTTCTATGGAATCCTATTTATTGCAAGTTCAAATAAAATAAAATAAAATAAAAACTATCTAGATGTACAAAACACTCAACGTTTCATGACGCTTGTGTAACAGATCATCACGACTGTTATTCATGGAAACACCATGTTCCCATAACTATTCGTACCTGCAATGACCCGATGATTGATACCTGACTTATGACCGGGCTGTGTTCGCATCAGAACACCACGTTCCCATCACCATGCACCGGGGGGTCCGATCACCCCGATTGAGACCCGGATAAAATGCCCAGTGATAACCTGTCTATACTGTACATTGGATCTTCAGTCTTGTGCTCTGCGAACTAATGGTCTTGTGATGCTGTGTATCATTAGAGCACAGGGATATCCGCGAAAGCTTGCCATCCTAAGTCAGTTTCTAGCACTGATCTGACATTACAATAGCATGGAAATCATTGATCAACGGAATGAAAACTAGGCCGAACATAACTCATTCCTCTTCACAGTTCGCATCACATTTTGTTCACAGTGATCGGCAACTTGCTACACTTTAGAGGTTTAAAAGATTAAATGTTTGAAGAATAATGAATTCGGTCTCGTTTTTCTTAAAGTCTACATCATCTCATCACAGACAGAAGCCTAGAATATTGGTGTCCAGGAGTAGGAACTCCACAGTCGTCGTCCCTAGTCCTTCAGTTTATTGAGAAAAATTGCCGAGTTTGAATGCACCGACCGTGTAGAACTGTGAATGTAGTGGGATATCTATTACAATACAGAGGCGACGGAGTTGCAGTTGATGAAACTTACTTAAGGAAACATGTACGATGGCTCACATTCCTCTGCCGTATATTGCAGTTAGTATGCATCTCGTGCTCGTGTAGAACACCATTTTTTGCTCCAAGCAAAGGTTTTTCTCTGGTGGGGTTGAATCATACAGTGCACACGTAATACATTAAATCATTAACAGTCCAAAGGTTTCGAAGATATTCACCGTTTGGTCACCAAAACAGTGAAAATTGTAGCTGTATATCATCACAGTTGCGCTTAAAATTGGCGTGTAAGTGTGAAGTTTTGTTATGGTTGCTTTAGGTTGTAGTCACTGATTTTCTGCATGGTTTGTCGATGGTTGTGTGATGTTTTCTTATGATACAATTGGAATGATCAAAGAAAGAGAATGGTTTGAAAAGAGATCTCAAAATGAAAATGATGAAGAGCTATGAATATGAAAATGAAGAAGAGCTATGAATATGAAAATTCTTCAGAAAATTTATTTTTATTTTAAAAAAAGAAGCATGTTCATGTTCCAAAGAACCCTCCAAAATAATATATCATGATTGACATAATTATTTTTTAAGGTCACAATAAGCTAAAGTTAGATTGTGTTCCATATGTGCTTTGTAATCCATTCATTGAATATAATTGAAATCTTGATTTTTGCAAAATCACACATAAAAGTGAATCCTTAAGTGAATCCTATAATTGAGACGAGTAGTTTTTTAAATGATATTTTTTACAATGATATATATATATATATATATATATATATATATATATATATATATATATTTTGAAAAATTTGACAATAATATAAAAAAATAGAAATATAATGAATGTTGTTATATTATAATATGACTATTAGATAAAAGAAAAAAATAAAGGACTATATTATAGAAGAAATTATTTGAAAATATAACAATAAATTATTTCAAAAACATAGATAAGAGTCAAAGAGGTAATAAAATTAAAAAATATTATTACTTACTTTGTAGGACTATAAACACAATAAAATAAGATAACATAGCAAAATTAACACTATAAGTATCTTTAGGTGATAGTAAAGAGTAGCTTTTAGCAAAAATATCTCAAAAAAATCTTAGATTGATACTCAAGGATGACCAATTGTAAATCGTAGTCAAAACAATATGTTAGGACATAAAACAAAATGCCTATGGCAAATAAAGGATTCTTTGGTTATTTAGATAGAAAAATTTTAAGAAAAAATTAGAAAAAGATACTTTGGATATTAATTTTAAATTATTTGAATTTGTATCAAATTTGTAAAAGCTTTATAAAGCTACAATTATTTTGGAATGACTTTGATTTTTGAGAAATAAAAAAGATTTATACTTTAAATTTTTTTATAAGATTTGTAATAAATCTATAGATGAAATTTTGTAGTTTTGTGTTTATAGTTGTGTTAAATGCATGTTCTAAGTTTAAAACCGATCAAATGATTCAAATTAAGATTATCGATACTCAAGTGGATTGATATTCCAAAAATTAGGGTTTAAAGGACTATCAAGGACTTCTAAGATTTGCAACAATATACCAATTGAATTGAGATAAAATTTAATGTACTAATAGAAAACTTGATTTCTAAAACTTTTACAAAATTTAAAAGTAATTGGATGATGAATTCAAGAGATATTAGATAGAAAGAGATGCGGACTAACACTTGAGTAGATTATAAAGTTTATCTTTCAATTGGTAAGTTTATAAATAAATAAATAAATAAATAATCTTAATAATAGATTTTAAATATTTTATTATTATTTATATAATTTTATGTAAATTTAAATATACTAAAATAAAAAACTTTATAATTTATATAAAATATTAGATAATAATATTTTTTTACAAAATTATAGGAATATAGAAGTTTTATGGAATTAAAAATATATATATATATATATATATATATATATGTATATCGAGAGAGAGAGAGAGCGAGAGAGAGAGAGAGAGAGATTTCAATAGAAACTTGAGCCGTGGAATATTGCAATCTCTAGTACATCCATCCAATCTCTTATTCATCCATGCTCCTTTATTTCTATTGCAAAGATAAAATTTATCCCTCAATTCAAATTATAGGATGGTTTCAATTAAGAATTTCTTATAATTGGTGAATGAAGTAAGACTATGAATTCTACTAGTAAATCTTAATTAGTGAATTGATTAAAAATATTAATTTAAATAATTTAATTATAAAATATTAATATTAGAGATTTTTTTAGATTACATAAGTATTTAATAAAGTTTAGTAGTAGTTATAGGTTACAAGAGTCTTATTAAAAGAAAAGTTATAATAATAAAAATTAATAAGTCTTGACTACAATTATCTAAGTTGATTTATTATTTATTCTTATTCTTAAGTTATTAAGACTAATATCTAAATTGGTCTTTTATCTACATATATTACTTATAGAAAAGCCTATAATTATTAATTAGTAGTTAAAAGATGCATGAAAAAAAACTTCATGTCTTCATTTGTTATTTATGTAGGAAATAAAATTTTTAGTTGATTTAAATTAATTTTATTATTATAAAAAATCACCAAGTTAGAAAAATATAGTCTTAAATTGATGTTAGAATTTTAAAAATATTATAAAAATATATAGAACTTATTTATAATTTATATAGAAATTTTAAAAAATTATTAAAGAAAATTTTTAGACTTTTATAAAATTGAGTTTTATCACATTAGGAGCTATTATGAAGATATTGAAGAAAAATTGAAGACCATTTATAATTTCTAGGCTAATTGGATATTTTTAAATATTATAGTAAACTAAAAGAGACAAAAGAATTAATCATATTAGTAGAAAATAGAAAGACCAACAAATACTGTATTCTTTATAAAAAGAGATGTGCTGTTATGGATATACACATATAAACTAATAATTACCTATGTGATTTAGTTAATAGTAGGTAAAAGTAGGTTAATTCCATAATATCTTCTATAAAAGCTTTTTAGAAGCTTCATAGACACTATTTTGACTTTTTAGGTTAAAAATATGGTCAACAAGTTGTCCATATATCACACATGTTGGTAGCTTGAAGAACAAGCTAAATATGTAGCCCTCACATAGAAAACTTACCTTGTAAGCTAAGGC